CTCGCCTACTAATTGTGATGTTCGCCCCCCCCCCCCCCGACGGCCCAGCGTTTGACTGGAACGGTATACTGCGCCGCCTCACACCCAGGTTCAGCGGTACAGTATATCACTCTGGCCTCAACGGTAGACTGCGCCGCCTCACACCCAGGGTTAGCGGTACAGTATATCCCTCTGGCCTCAACGGTAGACTGCGCCGCCTCACACCCAGGTTTAGCGGTACAGTATATCCCTCTGGCCTCAACGGTAGACTGCGCCGCCTCACACCCAGGTTTAGCGGTACAGTATATCCCTCTGGCCTCAACGGTAGACTGCGCCGCCTCACACCCAGGGTTAGCGGTACAGTATATCCCTCTGGCCTCAACGGTATACTGCGCCGCCTCACACCCAGGTTTAGCGGTACAGTATATCCCTCTGGCCTCAACGGTAGACTGCGCCGCCTCACACCCAGGGTTAGCGGTACAGTATATCCCCCTGGCCTCAACGGTAGACTGTGCCGCCTCACACCCAGGTTTAGCGGTACAGTATATCCCTCTGGCCTCAACGGTAGACTGTGCCGCCTCACACCCAGGTTTAGCGGTACAGTATATCCCTCTGGCCTCAACGGTAGACTGTGCCGCCTCACACCCAGGTTCAGCGGTACAGTATATCCCTCTGGCCTCAACGGTAGACTGCGCCGCCTCACACCCAGGTTTAGCGGTACAGTATATCACTCTGGCCTCAACGGTAGACTGCGCCGCCTCACACCCAGGTTTAGCGGTACAGTATATCCCTCTGGCCTCAACGGTAGACTGCGCCGCCTCACACCCAGGTTTAGCGGTACAGTATATCCCTCTGGCCTCAACGGTAGACTGCGCCGCCTCACACCCAGGTTTAGCGGTACAGTATATCCCCTGGCCTCAACGGTAGACTGCGCCGCCTCACACCCAGGTTTAGCGGTACAGTATATCCCTCTGGCCTCAACGGTAGACTGCGCCGCCTCACACCCAGGTTTAGCGGTACAGTATATCCCCCTGGCCTCAACGGTAGACTGCGCCGCCTCACACCCAGGTTTAGCGGTACAGTATATCCCTCTGGCCTCACGCTCGGCACAGACGCGTTGGGCTGGGTCAGGGACGCGCCGCGCTGCGCTGGCCGCCTTACCACTCATTATTACGGAGCGAGCGAAGCGAGCGGAATCTTTCCTTAGATTAACGGAAATTTCTGAGTATGAGCAGCCGGCAGTGGCGCAGCCAGGATTTCATTTCGGGGGGGGGGGGGGGTCATCGCCTCCAAAGCGGGCCCCATAGTGTGCGGGCCCCCACCCATTTTTCAGAATCTCCATATTTCATAGGTACACATTCTGCTGGGCGGGCCCCCTTTACCTGCCCGATAACCCTGAACGAGTTTGAATCGGAAAATTTTGATAGAACAATAGCTCGGTAATCACCCGGTGTGTCATCAATGGGTTAATTTCCACGCAAATTGACCACGACAGAAATATAGGTAGGCACTGTCACTATGAAGTATGAATTCGTATCTTTCGAGGCCGAAATGTACGCCTTCGGTAATATGCATAGCATATATGCAAACGGAGCTGTTGCCTGCTTCTGTCGGACAATATATGATATACATATGTACCTACTTTGTAGTCCCATGTGCCTGTCCTAAAGTCATCTATTGGCTGCTGTAGTACCTAGATTGTGCCATTATTCTTCTTCATTACGCGAATTCGCTCACAAGAAATTTTAACGCGCTCATATCAGACATTTAGTGCCTTTGGCCGGGTTTGTTGTGGTGTGGTAATGTGGTGATGTAGATTCTGTCTGTTACCGAGGTCCCGGCATGGTGTTACTCCATGGTGTTACTTAGCGCGGGGTGCAGGCCTGCAGACTGTTGCACCTAGCGCGCTGAAATTTGCGCAACTTATAGAACAAGGATGGACAACGTGCCTTTTAGGGGTCTCAGTTCGATCGGGACGATAGTGAGCACATGGCCCATGCCCAAAAAGTGCAAATTCGCGTCATATGCTTTACATGTTTAAGTCGGCTTGCAAAATCGGGCGAAAATGGTTAAATTTGCCCGACACGGGTCCGGTCCCTGTGCAATATCTCGGTAACCGTGGATCCGATCGGCACGGGGAACACAGTATCGTGTAGTGAATCGAACGGGCTATCGAATGGTGTGCGATGCAGGGAATGGCTCGCGCCACGTGCTCCTGTGAGGCACTTTTGCTTAAAAATTGACGTTTCATACGGATTTTGGACCTTATACCATTTTCGGGTGACTGTCAGACGGGGCGAACTCAAACAACACCTAAAGGCAAGAGAAATGTACCGCTTCTCATGAAAAAATGTGAAAAGCTAATTGATCAAAAACAAGGTGGAACAGACTGGAGAGCATAGTATTTGTCCATGATGTGCCACTTGCTTAATTACATGGGTTTTGCTACATAACCTGATATGTTTGACAATTGAAAATGGCATCGTTGGAAAGAACATTAAATTTTGTCCAAAATCCAAGCATCGCTTTTGCAAGACGAGCAACAGCATTCTTAAAAAGATAAATGTTCCAAACCTCTACATGGCAATTCATCGCTGGCTTTCATTTTTCAATAACTTACGTCAACCTATGTTATAAAATACACTTGACATGATCTATAGTAGAACGCACGCTTATCTGGCACGGACACCTCGATGCGAAGGATATTTTTCCCAAACCAAAATGTTTAGCCGTCAAAAAGCAATCGACGGAAATGGATACATAGCCCACGGAGACAAGACCAACCAAACGCCTACCGATCAAAAGTACCCCTTATCCGCGTTGCGGAGCAAGTGGGTGACCCTAGCGGGCCCCATCCACCCGGGGGCCTGGGCCCCATCCACACGGGCCCGGGCGCCGTCCACCCGGGGCTTTGGGGTCCATCCACCAGGGGGCCCGGGCCCCGTCCACCCGAGGGCCCGGGTCCCGTTCTTCCAGGGGTCCGGGCCCCGTTCTCCCGGGGACCCGGGTCCGTCCACCCGGGGCTACGGGGCCCACCCACCAGGGGCCCGGGCCCCGTTCTCCCGGGGCCCGGGTCCAATCCACCTGAGGGCCCGGGCCCCGGGGCTCCATCCACCCGGGGCCCGGGCCCATTCTCCCGGGCCCGGGCCCATCCACAGGGTCCCGGGGCCCGTCCACCCGAGGGCCCGGGTCCCGTTCTCCCAGGGGTCCGGGCCCCGTTCTCCCGGGGCCCGGGCTCCGTCCACCCGGGGCTCCGGGGCCCATCCACCAGGGGCCCGGGCTCAATCCACACGGGGCCCGGGCTCCGTCCACCCGGGCCCCATTCTCCCGGGGGCCCGGGCTCCGTTCTCCCGGGGGGCCGGGCTCCATCCACCCGGGGCCCCGGGCCCATCCACCGGGGGCCCGGGCTCCATCCACTCGGGGGCCCGGGCCCCATCTACCCGGGGGTCCGGGCCCATCTACCTGGGGGCCTGGGCCCCATCTACCCGGGGGCCCGGGCCCCATCTACCCAGGGACCCGGGCCCCATCTACCCAGGGACCCGGGCCCCATCTACCCGGGGCCCGGGCCCTTTGCACCTGGGGCCCATGGACCATCACCCGTGGTGTCCCAGTAGGCATTTCTCGAAGCGGGCTCGTCCGATTATATTAGGACCTCTCTCCTCCCTCCGTCCCTCCCTCCCTCTCCCTCTCTCTCTCTCTCTCTCTCTCTCTCTCTCTCTCTCTCGCTATCCCAGAGCGGGCCCCTGACAGAAATTTCGGGGGGTCAGCTGACCTTCTGACCCCCCCCCCTGGCTGCGCCACTGGCAGCCGGCCGTGGTCACGACTTTGCGACGCTTATATCTCAGCAACCACTTGACCGATTTGCACGCGGTGATTTTTGAATTTTTGTAGGGTAGCTTCATTCCTTCTACCAAGTATTGGACTATTCCCGATGCATGTGGGTGACCCCTCATGCACGTGCCACGTGCAAAACGAAGAGGTGTCAGTTTTGCAATTGTTGCAATATCTCGGTGACTACTTGGCCGATTGCGCTCAAAGTTGGCATGTAGGTAGGCACTAGAGATGTCAATCGGATACCAGCTTTTTGGTATACCGATACCAAACCGATACCAACTTGGTATTTGGTATTTCAATCGTAATGTGTTTGGTATTTTGTTGGTATCATAAGCCCTCACTAATATATAAAAGGCTAAGAAATCGGTAAAAAGTTGGTATTTCCCTCAGTTTCCCAAGTTGGTTTGGTTTCGGTATTTTCCCGTGGTTTTGGTTGGTATTTGGTTTGGTATCGATATTCCGATTTTCCGTAATTGACATCACTAGTAGGCACCCGCTAGGCAATGCATATCCATGTGCCAGAGTTGGGGTGCTACTGCACGTGCGCACGTGCAGTGGTCGATTCCAGATCTCGAGAACGGCTGGACCGATGGCGCTCAAATTTGGTACATGGTTAGGGACCGGTTAGTAGGGTGCCGTGCAAAAGTCAGTTGGGACCCATTTTGCACGTGCGCACGTGCAGGGTGCCGCTTCCAGATCTCGAGAACGGCTGGGCCGATTGTGCTCAAATTTGGCACATCGCTAGAGACCGGTTAGTAGGGTGCCGTGCACAAGTCAGTTGGAGGTACCCCCTCGAAATTTCGCACGTGCAAGGCTCACCCTCTCGCTCGCTCCGTTAGTCGCCCCAAAAGGCGTTATACTGGTAATCAAGGTATTTGAGGAGTCCATAGATCGAGTTTTTACGTTCTTGTAGGAAGTTAATGACAGGCCTGATAAGTCCTAGTCGGTGGGATGGGCATCGATAAGTCCTCGGAGTCGACGGGCTCCCCCGTAAAAGTTAGGCCGAGATGTGGTGACGTCGAGTGTGTCGTGGTGCTGTGTTGGTGCAGCGTGTGTTGTGGTGTTAGTGGTAACTCGGCAGGCCGACGGGCCCTAAATTGAGGAAGGCCCGTGATGGGACAGCATGGTAGCCTCCGATGAGTTTTTATTTAGTTTCTTTGTTAGATGGCGGATAGCAGACAGAAGACGACACTTAGCCATAGCCATAAGCCATGAGCGTTTATTAGAATTCTTCCACGTGATGGCTAATACGAATTCGGTCGAGTGGTTTACAGAAAACGCACAAATCCACAAATTAAAACAATCCTCAATCAAATATACATGATTAAACGTGTTGTACAAGTTGAGTATAAAAAGACTGGGGATATATTTAAAAGCGACACGAACGACACGTTTCAAACACTACAATATAACAGCGTTTTAAAATACAACCAAATGCATCACCATCTTGCGCCCTAGTGCCTTATGTGTGCGGCTTGCGCTCCACGCCGCCGCGGCCCTATCAGCGAACACTCGCTGGGTTTTGGAGAGTCTGCACTTTATGAGGTCGAGCATACCCGATACTACTGCGCGGAGTTGCGAGATGACGCTGTTGAACGGTGGACGAACATGTCTGATAGGGCCTGGGGGCACTGACCGTCGTCCAGGGCCCTCTGCACGTGAACACGGTCATGGCGGTGCACCAGTTCCTCAACAGTCTCCCTGCCTGTTGCTCCCCGCGCATTTACCGTTCTTTTTCAGATGGGCCATGAGAGGGGGTTTATGGATGAAGCCCGCACCACAAATTCCACATTTGTAGGGTTGTTCGCCGGTGTGCCGGCGCTGATGCGTTGATAGCACATCCTGGCGGGAGAAGCCCTGTCCACATGTCTCACAGGTGTAAGGCTTTTCCCCGGTGTGAATTCTCATGTGTTTCTGGAGCGTAGTGCGCCTGGCAAACTGCATGTCACATAGCTCACACTTGTGAGGCCTCTCCTGAGTGTGCGTCATGTAATGTTTCGTCAGATCACCTTTAAGCGCGAATGTTTTAAAACATTCGCCACATCTGAATGGCTTTTCACCCATGTGACACTTAATGTGTCTTTTCAAGGCAATCGGCGCAGCGAAGCCTTTTCCACATAAATCACAAACATGCCTCAGTTTCAGGTCTTTCGTTTTAGGTTTGACATCTCCGAAATGAACTTCTCGAATATGTCTCAAAAGAACATCTCTCCTTTTGTACGCCCTTTCACACAAACTGCATTTGTGTGACGCTTTATCTGAATGCGTCGCCAAGTGCGTTTTAAGTCCTCTAGCGTACTTATAGCAGTTTCCGCATTTTTTACACCGGTGTGGTCCAGACCCGGGCGCCCCGTCCTCTCCGTCTCCGGACTCATCAGTACCAGACCCGGGCGCCCCGTGCTCTTCGTCTCCGGACTCATCAGTACCAGACCCGGGCGCCCCGTCCTCTCCGTCTCCGGACTCATCAGTACCAGACCCGGGCGCCCCGTCCTCTCCGTCTCCGGACTCATCAGTACCAGACCCGGGCGCCCCGTCCTCTCCGTCTCCGGACTCATCAGTACCAGACCCGGGCGCCCCGTCCTCTCCGTCTCCGGACTCATCAGTACCAGACCCGGGCGCCCCGTCCTCTCCGTCTCCGGACTCATCAGTACCAGACCCGGGCGCCCCGTCCTCTCCGTCTCCGGACTCATCAGTACCAGACCCGGGCGCCCCGTCCTCTCCGTCTCCGGACTCATCAGTACCAGACCCGGGCGCCCCGTCCTCTCCGTCTCCGGACTCATCAGTAACTCGGCTGGCGCTAACACCATCCGACACAGTCGAAGCGTGGGACCGCCGCTGTTGCCCGGAACTGTCCAGTGACGGTTTGCTGTCCTGGTATGTGCGCCGCACATTCCGGCATTCGTCCTGCTCCGTGTTTACGGCGTCTGTGTCGCTACCGCTGTGGTCGGAGGAGACATCCAGGCGTCTGGAATGGCCGTCGAGGTGGCTCTGGAACTCGGCCAGGCCGTGCAGCGCCAGTCCACAGAGGTCGCACCGGTGTGGCGGAGCCTGGTCACCGGCAGACGGGTGCGTCGACGTGCCCGCTCCGGTCAGTGCTGCGCCCTCAGAGCGTCCACATGTGCCCAGATCTGGCACATCATCAGCAAACTCCTGAGCCGTGTCCCTTGCAAGAGACGTGCCTGAAATGTGAATAGTACATACTGAGTTATCTGGACTCTGTGTGGTTTACCGTAAGCGACAGTGTCGGCAGTGAACTCACTCTGAATAAAAAAAGATAGATAGGGGAGACTGGGGACAAGTGGGCTATGATTTTTACATCAACTTTGAAAATCGTAAAAAATATTCCGGAATTAGGGGATGGAAAGCATGGCTTCACATGCTTTCAAGTTTCCATTCGGATATATTCACATTGGGGAGGGACTGACAATAAACGTTGTACCGATGTGTGTGCATGTGCGTGTGCGTGTGTCTTTGTGTGTTGAAGCATTTCGGCATCTGGAGCCCAAATGGTTGGGCCCATCGAGACGAGGAGCGAGACTACCCAAATGGGTAGGCCACCGTTCGACACACCGATCCGGGGAAACGATGATGGTGCTGGTCCCGTGTCAATCCGCACACCGTGGCACGTGCCATGACGCCGACACTGCAATTTTCGGGGCTAAAGGCCAAACGGCCGACGGCACAGGTTGTAAACTCGCAGGGCACATGCAGCCCACCTTGAACCGTGGTCCGTTAAGGTTTCCGTCTCTGAGGGGTGCACACCGCCCGTGCCAGAAGCGATAACATTTTTTTGCCAAGAGATCCTCTGGTCTGGATAAATTTTGAGCTAGCGACATCAAATTTGGCAGGCTGGTAGAGGTCGAGAACCGCTACATGACAAGGTCATGTAAAAATGGTCGTGATGAGGTGCACAGTGCACGTGCTGGGCACGTGCGAGCAGTTTTCACCTCTGCTAGGTATTGTCAATGTCAAGGTTGTAGACCAAGTGGTTGAACCAATCAGTCCGAAACTTCACTTGTCGACCGTCAGCAGTAGGCATGAAAATTTAATCATTTGGCGATCCTGATGTTGTATGGTACACATGGCACGTGGCAGAGACGGGTTCCTTTTTTGAGGCTGGTAATTACCGGCTCCCCTAATTTTATCAAATTCTACCTTTTTTACCAAATGCTCCCTGTTTATTCCAAAAGCAACCTTAAATGACCAAAACAATTTTTTTTTTCAATTTCTCCTTTTCACTGCAAAACGCTACCTTATTCTTACTGAAACCTCCCTTGTTCTTACCACAAGTCCCCTTTTCTAGTTGAAGTTTGTCATCTGAAGACATTTTTGCAAAAAATTGTAGCACTTCTAATGCAATGATTGAATTCTACCAATCACATTGTGGTCTGGCAAATTTAAAATGCCATTACCTTCTCCATGCACCATTACAATGCATCATGTCCCATTCTAGTGTCGTGGTCCTTGGCGTGTGAGACGTGCGACTAGCTTCATTTTTTTGTGGATTTCTTTTGGTGTAGCTTCCTTTCCGCAGTTAAAGCATGTATGATGACATCTGGCGACATAACTAAAAATGAGCTTCTGGGGAAAAGGGAGGCTGTGGGGTAAAAAGGGAGGTTGTGGGAAAAAAACGGAGGCTGTGGAGAAAAAAGGGAGGTAAGTGTAAAAGAAGGGAGATTTCAATAAGGGGATATTTTGTCAACAAAAAGGGATATTTAAGTCATAAAAAGGAAGGTGAAGAATTATTCCCCTTTTTTGACCGGGGATCCTCTGGCCTTGGTACAGTTTGAGCTAGCGACATCAAATTTGGTGTAGTAAACTCCTTATGTCCACATTGCCGTTGTATTGCCAGCTGCCTCCGTCGCGCGCCGGCCCAGACTGGCCGGGGGTCGTACGTGACCCACCTTTTATTCAACAGGCTACGAAACGTCTAGAACACGCCGAAAACGAGTGCGAACTTGCACAACAGCGACGAGGTGACGGAAGGCGCCAGCTTGGCGGCCTACGTGCCTTAAATGACATATCTTAAATTTACAATTGCGCTGCGCGTGCCGCCGGCCGTCTCCTCCCGGCCCCGCCCCGCACAATGCCATATAACTCATCCCGAGCCTGGACGGGGCGGCGGCGGCGCCGCAGTGGCTCGGCGGCCACAATATTCTAATACAGGCGGCCACAAGATTCTAATACACTCCCCCCTGATCTACAAATCATCGTACTGGGTCAGAACGGCAGGGCGTCTCTCCCGCATGCCGCGGCGTAGAACTTCAGCGTACGTCACAGGGGGCACATTTTCCCCGTGGCTTTCGTGCGCACACTCTCGCAAGATAATTGGGCCAGAGTCGTCATGGTCATTGTTCGGCGGCTCAGTCTGGCCACTCTCCGGACTGGGAACGAAAGCCAGTCTCAGATCTCTCACGTGACGGGGGACATTGTCTACTTCCACACACTGCGCCGACACTTGTCGGGTGACTGTTCCTATGGAACTTGGAACATCACACCGGCGACTAGGGTCTCTGATCCATACCTTATCGCCTACATTGAACATAGCACACTCACTCTCTTCGCACTTTTCCTCACTCTCCACGTCCGGCACTCTCAGTTTGTAGTTGAACAGTACGTTGGCAGGACTAGAGTTCAGGTCATCACTGCGCGGCATCACATTATAGCGGTAGACTGCTTCCGCCACTGAGCAGCCTTTGCGCGCTACGATTGTTTTGACCGACCTATGGTTTCTCTCAGAGACACCATTGCCGAACGGCGCATGGGCAGCTCGGTACCGGACGCTGACGCCCCACCGGCTGACGAACTCGTGGAATGCGGAATGAGGTGAAGTTGTCCGTCAGCAGCTCCCTCGGAGCGCCGCGCTCCAGGAATACCGACTCCAGAGCGGTGATGATGCTGTCGGTGTCCTGTCGCTTTATCCGCCGCCAGATCGCGTACCGAGACGGACCGCAGTCAATCAGAGTCAGGTACAGCTGATCGCTTACGTGACAGACGTCCATGCTGATCCTGTCCCAGCATTTAGTCACGCTCAGCGAACCATGTGTCCACCGCTGGGGCGCTGGATCGATGGACTGGCACCTTTCGCACTGGCTAACGACACTGCGCACCTGGTGCCTGCTCACAGCCGGGTCGTGCTCCCTACACAGGCGCAGCGTTCTCCCGATGCCTGGGTGTCCGCTTGTTTCATGGATCCTGACCACATCCGGCGCCGAGAAGGCAGCGCCGCAGACCTCAGGATCGCTTTGTTGGTTCAGCCACTTCTTCGGCACTCTCGTCAGTGCGTCAGCCCTGTTGTCCACTGACGGAACGCACTTCACGGTCAGCTGGAGGCCGTACTCATCTCTCAGATTCTTCACGGTCTCCAGGCGCCTTCTAATCAGCATTTCACTCGCCGCCTTCGTCTTTATCCGAGCTCTGCCGGAGAGCGCATCTGTTAGCCAGTGATAGACCGTTTTCGAGTCCGTCACGACAGTCACTTTCTTCAGGTTCCATGCCAGGGACAGATTGATGCCACGCACAACAGAGTCCAGTTCTGCAAGGTTCACGTGTGTCTCGGGATTTTTTCCGAAGCCAGCAGGCGTCCTCAACGATGCTGCCTTCCATCTCCAGCACGGCTCCTATGGCGAGGGAGCTGGCATCCACCCACACGACTCCCTCGTCGCCGGTGACATCCCAGCGACCTCGTGCGGGATCGGCCGTTTTCACGCGCTGCAGCGTTTCCATGACCATTTTCTTGAGTTCTGGGTCGGTGATCTCGTCATCCCAGCCGTCTGTCGCTGCAGTGGCGCGTCTTTTCAGGTAGGATGCGGAGACACGCAGCCAGCCACACACCGGGACCTGACTTGTCAGACGTCCGCACAGCGAGAAGACCTCTCTCCTCGTCAGCTGTGGCGGCGGCTGTAGATCCTGGTTGTCCCGCTTCCAGAACAGTCCTTGCCGCTCCCCCCAGACTCGAATGCCCAGGACACGAGCACCTTCTGACACCTTCTCCGGGGATTTGCAGGTCAGACCGAGCGCCTCCAGATGACCCTTCACCTCCAATGCAGTAGCGATGTTTTCATTTACGAGTATGTCGTCCACGTAAGGTGATGTAGCGGTGTGCACCCTCGGGTCACGTTTCAGGGCCATTTCCAGCACCTTTCTCATCACCATCGGTGCGAGACTGAGCCCAAAGCCAAGTCTGCTCAGACACCACCGTCTGCCCTGGAACACTACAGTCTGATACGGCCACAGCGATGCGTGCACGTGGATCTGCAGGTAAGCGTCTCGCAGATCTAGGAGAGACACGTTTCGTCCACACCGACGCCACTCACGGATTTTTTCACTGCAAACATCCGCGTCAGCTGTATGCGGGTCCAGGTGCGTATTTAACTCCCTGAAATCCATGACGGGACGCACTTTGTCCTTCTTCGGTTGGATGACCGCCATGAGCGGGATCGTGCCTTTGACCCTCCCGTGCACGCTCTCATCATAAGGGACGAGCCATTGATTCGCCACCCACTTGGAGAGTTCTCGCTCGTATTCGTGTCGGGCTTCTGTTGGAATCGCGTACTCCTCTGCTGTATTGTGCAGCTGCTCGGGCTCCTTTCCTCCACACCATTTCCACTCCACCAACCACTTCTTTTCTGTCTCGTCAAAGCTCACCACAAAGTCCTTCTCGTCGGCTCGATTAGCCGGTGCGGCGGCCGCCGCCGCACCCAACACCGGATCCCCCTTACTGCTGTCAGCTCGATTCACTGCTGCAGCTGCCGCCGCTGCACCTGACGCTGGGGCCGCCTCACTGCTCGCCTGATCATGACTCACCCGTGCAGTCGCTGCCACTGCACGCGACACCCCAGTCCTCTCACCATCACAGCTGACCCGGTCACCGGGTGAGGCCACTGACGCCGCTATATGAGACACCGCTGCCTCAACTCCGAATCTGACTCGGTCATCCGAACTCACTGTAGCGCCACCCAGTGCTCTGATACCATTCATCCCAAGGATGAACTCAAACCCCAGTGGCTTACGTGCTACGACGAGCACATCTACGGACACTGATTCACCGGACCGCAGCTGCACGCGTGCCACGCCTGACCCCTCACACCAATAACGCCCTCCACTCACTGTCATCACGTTCACCGGGCGTCGGTTCCACCTCCGACAAACTGACACGTGAGCTACACACTGGCTGCAT